CTCGAGGCTCCGGCACTCCAGTAAATGACCCGCTGCAGCAAGACCCACAGCAGCAGCAGCAGCAACAACAACAACAACAACAACAACAACCACAACAACAACAACAGGAGGTAGGAGGCATGTGCAGTGGGATGTCTGGCGCTGCAGCAGCAGCACAGCAGTATCTAGCATCAACAAGGGGGGCCCCATCGGGCGTAGGGGGCCCCCCTCCCTTCGCTTTCTCAGGGCAGCAGGGGCCCCCACCCCCTGTACCAGGGGGCCCCCTGGGGGGCCCCTCAAGAGTGCTTCTCTTTGTTGATAGACCTACAAGAACCTTTGCCTTGCAAGAGGGAGACATTAGAGACTGCGTCTCTGCCTATGGATCGATCGATGGCGTAAGAACGCATGCAACCAGCCCCAAACATATAACGCATGCACGCAGACATATGGGGCCCCTGGGGGGCCCCTGGCGCCCCAGTAGGGGCCCCCGGGGGCCCCCTACCACCACAGCAGGGGCCCCCGTAGCGTCTCAGCTGTATATCCGTTTCAGCTTGAAAGCCCAAGGGCTCTTGCAGACACATCTATGCACGAGGAACTGCTGCTGCTGCTGCTATTGTTGTTGCTGCTGCTATTGTCTCTGCTGCTGCTGATGCGGTTGCTGCACCTCATCGTTGCTGCTTCTGCTGCTGCCCGTGTCACTGCTGCTGCTGTTGCGATTGCTGCATCTCATCGCTCCTGCCGCTGCTGCTGCTGCTGCTGCTGCAGGTGTACATTCTGAGGGACCGCGCAGCAGCAGAGGTTGCCTTTGGTTCTGCTGCTGCTGCAAATGCATGCATGGCGGCTCTTGATGGAGTGCCGCTGGAGGGTGTGGGGCAGCTGCGGGTGCTGCTGCTGCAGCCTGGTGCAGCAGCAGCATCGCTTCTTCCGGATTCCTCTGCGGATCCACCGCCGCAGCAGCAGCAGCAGTTTGGTGGTGGTGGTGCTGCTGCTGCTCAGTGGGGCGCTGGGGGGTGGGCCCCTAGTGATCCTAGGGCGAAGCCCCCGTCGGATTCTGCTGCTGCACTGCAGCAGCAGCAGCAGCCGCCGCCACCGCAGCAGCAGCAGCAATCGCTTTCGGGATCTCAGCAGCTGCAGGTGGGCAGCAGCAGCAGCAGCAGCAGCAACGGCATGCAGCGTGTGTGTAGGCTGGAGCTTGTGGGGCTCTTTGGGGGGGAACCGACCTTCTCTGTTGCTGCTGCCCTTAGAGGGTCTAACGACAGCAATATTCAATATATATTAGAGCATGCTAAGCACAAGCTTGAGATTGGTATCCGAGGTAAACCCTTAACCCTAAACCCTAAACCCTAAACCCTGCGCAGATGCATTAGTGCCCCTGGCTTGATTGCTTATAAAAAGAGACAGAGACAAACACCAGTAAAGGAAGGCCGTCTATATAATATATATAATATATATATAATATATATATATATATATATATGGATGCAATATAATAAGGAGACACAAATAAAGATAAAGAGACAAATAAGGAGACAAATAAGGAGACAAATGAAGCAAAGAGACTCTTCATTAATCCAACTAGAGACACTTGTGCTGATTTTCTGTTTATTGTCTATCAGGCAAACCCATTAACGATGCCCCCGTTGCAGACAGACTGCACATCACCCTCTCTTCTCACGATGATGAGGCCTTCGAGAAGGTACCCTGCTGCTGCTGCTGCTTCTGCTGCTGCTGCTCGTGCTGCTGCTGCTTCTGCTCGTGCTGCTGCTGCTTCTGCTCGTGCTGCTGCTGCTCCTGCCGCTCGTGCGGCTGGTTGCTTCTGCCACTGCTCTTCTTGCTGCTGCTGCTGCTACTTCTGTTCTTCATGCTGCTGCTGCTGGTCTCGCTGCTGCTGCTGGCTTTGCTGCTGCTGGCTGCGGGTTGTTGCTGCGAGCGGAAGTTGTTAGTGTTATGGGTTTTGATATTTTGTTTGATTTGTTGTCTCCTTTTGTCTTTGATCTGTATCTCTTTGTTGTGCTGCTAGCTGTTTGTTTGTTTGCTGCTGTTTGTCTCTGTCTCCTCCTGTCTCCATGGGCGGCTGTGCTGCTGTTATTGCTGCTGTTGCTGTCTCCTTAAGACGCGTGCATATCCCCCTCTCTATATATTATATATATACATATATATATTATTGTACAGTAATTAATGCTAATAATATTAATATTAATAGTAATAATATACTACTGTTATTTTGTGTATGCTATGATTTCTGCCTGTCTATGTTTCTGTCTCTTTTGGTGTCTCCTCTAAAGGAGACACCCGCCTTTTTATTATTTGTTTTAGTTATATTCTTTTATTATAATGTATATTTAAACGTTTTTAATAGTTTTAGCGCCCTGATTATATAATAGAACATCATAATCTATAACATTGGGGTGTATGTGCACCTATCAAACTGTCTCCTTTTTGAGTGTCTCCTTTTCCTGTGTGTTGCTGCGTTGCTGCTGTATTAATGCAGGCCTTAGCCATGTGCGAAGACTTGGTGCACTCTGTTTGCGAGCAGTATTTAGCTTATTGCAGAGAGCGACATATTATTGTTTCTCAGCCTATAGGCTTTCGGAGGCATATGTATCAGCAGCAACCAGATCCGGGGGCCCCCAGCGGGGGCCCCCTCATTTATATGGGGGCAACAGAACGACTTAAAACTCCACCAGGGGCCCCCCAAAACCCCCCCCCTCAAGCACCATCTCCTGCTGCTGCTGCTGCTGCAGCTGCTGCTGCTGCTGCTGCAACAGCAGGAGGATCCTTGCTGCCCCCGCTGCTGCCCCCTGGGGTCCTCGCCCCAGGGCCCCTCCCTCTTGCTGCTTTGGCTGCAGCAGGAATACCGGGGGCCCCCTTAGGGTCTCTAATGTCTCCTGGGCCCCTCGGAGCACCAGGAGTGCTGGGGCCCCCACCCTTCTTGGGGCCCCCCTTCCATCCACCAGCAAACGGAGACTTTGAACAGAGACACAACAGAGACAGAAGCAGAAGCAGAGACAGAGGGCCTCAAAGAGACAGGTACTATCACTTCACCAACACAGGCATCCATCCTATTCTGTAGGGGGGCCCCCACAATAAATATACCCTTGGGTTTCTTCTTTTATCGCTGCAGCAGCTCACGCTGCTGCTGCTGCTGCTGCTGCTGCTGCTTCTGGCTAGAAACGTGTGGCAGGATTTCTTCTTCTTGCTGCTGCAGTTGCTGCTGCTGCGGTTTGTATGCATTGTTGTTGCTGCTGTTGCGGTGTGTTCTGCTGCTTCTGCTGCTGCTGCTGCTGCTGCAGAGATGGAGGCTACAGAGGGGGATCCCCTCGTCGTGGGGGCCCCGGGGGCCGCCAGTCGCGGCGAGGTGGAGGCCGAGGGGCCCCCGGCAGGGGCCCTAGGGTCCCAGAGGAGGAGGGGGGCCCCCAATAGAGCATGGTGAGGGGCCCCCAGCTTTATATGCCCTGTAGGCATATGCTTAACTGGGGGGAAGCCAAAGGCTAAACCCGTGTCTCTCGCACCTGATGCGTGTAGGGGAGGGCCCCAACATGGGGGCCCCCAACATGGGGGCCCCCAACAGGGGGGCCCCCAACGGTGGGGCCCCCTTGCAATATAGGGGGGCCCTTATAAGGGCCCCCCAATAGGGTCCTTCCTGCATGAGGGGGGTCCACGCCACAGATGAAAGCGAGGGTGTTTGCTGGGGAGGGCACAGGGGGGCCCCCTGGGGCCCTTTAAGGGCCCCTCCTGGAGTCCCCCTGGGGTTCCTTAAGGGCCCATGGGGGCCCCCTGGGGGCCCCTGGTGATGACAGGGAAGGGTGGTAGTTGGGTATAGCCTTTTGCGATGTAGACAATGGGGGCCCTGGGGCCCCCGGGGGATGGAGGGTGGGGGCTGATGGGGGCCTTTAGGAGATTTGTTTGTCTCCTTTTGGTTGTGGGGCGTCTTGGGGTTTTGTTTGAGGCCACTGGGTGGTGAACTTATTTATTTTGTGCTGTCGCTGCACGCGATAACTTTGTCGCTTTTGTTTCCCCAATCCTTCTGTCTCCTCTTCCGTCTCCTTTTCTGTCTTTGTCTCCTTTGCTGTCTTCTTTTATGTCTTTGTTTGATTGTCTGTCTCCTTTTCCGTTTCCTGTTTTGTATTTGTCTCCTTTTCTGTCTCTGTTTGATTTGCTGTCTCCTTTTGTGTCTCTGTTTGATTTCTGTCTCCTTTTTTGTCTTTGTTTGGTTTTTCTGTCTCCTTTGCTGTCTCCTTTTCTGTATTTGTCTCCTTTTCTGTCTGTTTGATTGCCTGCCTCCTTTGCTGTCTCCTTTTGTGTCTCTGTTTGATTTTCTGTCTCCTTTGCTGTCTCCTTTTCTGTCTTTGTTTGATTTTCTGTCTTCTTTTCTGTCTTTGTCTCCTTTGCTGTCTCCTTTTGTGTCTTTGTTTGATTTTTTGTCTCCTTT